TTTATTCCTATTAACAGGGGTTTTCCTGCTGCCTGCATCCCCTTCGAGAGCATGTTTCTATAGAGCTCTAAGGCTGCCTTGTCCCCTGTTCTACTGGGATCCTAGTCTGAGTCTGTGGCGGGCACTGACTGTTCAGCTGGTTGCCAAACCTGGTGATCAGGCTGATTGGCATGTTGTTTGTCTGCCTCTTTGCTGGCTTCAGCCGAAACTGCTGCTTTTTCTTCTCCGGGCAGGAGGGCCGACATGAGAGTCTGTATTATCAGCTCGAGTGGGGTTCTGAGTAGAGAATATACCCTCATTAAATTAAGGAACTCTCCAGGGTCCGCCTGCAGACCGAGAATGTGCCTTCCTGTTGTAAAGGTCTGAGATGGTGAGTGGCACACACGTGTTTATAAGGTTCCCATCCCTTCAGGGACCTGGCGCAAGGAAAAAATTCCGCTTTTCCCTGGATTGTAACAAGTCCCATGTCTGGTAGTGCTGTCGAGGAAGGGAGGGGAGATTGGTTTAGGAGCAGCAGTGAATGGGGGCCGCTTCTTAGGGGCAGACTTCTGATTAGGAGGGTAAGGAGGGGGCTGCTCTATGGGTCCTGTTGGAGCTGGGGTGAGGGGAGCAGATGGCATTGCTTCCCCGCCCCGTCTCCTAGTGGGTTAGAATAGGTCCTCGTCGTCTGGAGGATTTTCTAGCACCGGGAAGATATTCCCTTTTGTGGCAGAAGGTTCAGTCTTAAATTTGGTCAATTTGTGTTTTTTCAGTAGCCCCTCATTTTCATATAAAGCCATAAAGCATCGTACATAGGGAGTTTCTTCCAATTTCCCTTCCCTTTTGCACAAAAAGTCCAATTGTAAGATGGTATTATATTTCAGCGACCCATTTTCTGGCCACTTTTCCTGACTTCCTAAATTATATTGGGGCCAATCTGTATTACAAAAGAATATCATTCTCTTTTTAGTCATGGGAGTACAGCCAAATAATTGCCAGTGACGAAGGAGGCACCCCAGTGGGCTCTCCTTTGGTATGGACACTGTATTGCCCATGTTGGTGTTACAGATTTGTTTCTAGTTCCTAAGGGGCGGTTAGTAAACACACAAATCCTATAATGTAAACCTAGATGTACCTAAAATACTTTCCTACTACTATCAGAGCTCTCTAGCAATATCATACACCCACCCACACACACAGGGGGCTCAGGGATGTACTGCTGAGCCTCCCATCCCAGAACTCAGAGCTGCCTATGGAGAACTCTCCCTAGGTTACAGAGGTTTTTCTCAGTCAGGCATCCCCAACCAGCCTCCCCGTCAGCCAGGAGGGGGATGTCTCTTAGTCTCCCAGACCTATAGCTGCTTCGGCCAGAACAGAAAGCAAACCTGGGAACTAGAAATCTGCACAGTTTATACCCAAAACCATTCTTCACCCAATTCAAAAGACTCTTATAGCCAACTTGTGGGTCCAGCACTACTCAGGGCTCCAGGAGAACTCCCGAACAATGGTCCAGTGCGGCCACTGAGTTTGTCCAGGGCGGCAGCAATGCAGGGCTGGCGAGTCAGGCACCAAGAGGAACCGCCCCCTTCACCAAGTCACCAGTGGCATAGGGGAGTTAGCCGGAGTGAGCTGCCGCTGCCCATCGCTTCCCCTGATGGAGGCTGAGTGACAAGGATGTCAGGCTTCAGAGGAGAAGTCCCACCTGGGTCGCCAAAAACTAACCAAACTCAGTGACTTCGTCTCTTGGTGAGTGTAGAGCCGAAAAGCACAGCCAAGGCTGAAGTGGGTGAAGAAAAAGGTTTATTGCTTGCACAAGCAATGGCGAACACTGGGGAGAGCTCCCAGAGCAGTGTCATCCCCGCCCTGCCTGGTGCCAGTGGAGACTTTATACACAAGAGTGCGGAGGATATGTTACACTGTGTAACAACTGGGCTCCGTCAGGGCGCATGTGCAGGCTATTACATGAGGAGTTCAGTGTAACATGCCATTACATAATGAGTTTGAGGAACGTGTCATTACATAACGGATCCATGGGAACCTGGACAACTGGAGCTGGAGCAACCTGCAGGGGTCTTGCTGCAACCGTGTAAATTTCACTGTAAGAAAGCAACATCTACAGAACGGGGACATCAGCCTCTGAAAACAGCACATTTAGTTTTCTCCTTGTCTGGAAAACATTTGACAGACCATGTTAGTTATTGATCAGATCCTCAGTAACCCTTTCCTTGCCTGGTTCCCAGTCTTACAACGACCTTGTATGATATCCTCCCACTTTGAGTGGGGGGGGGGTGGAACCTATGAATATGATCTATAACTATGTTATGTTATACAGAAAAATGGAGATTATGCGGGGCAGCTAGTCTAATCATGTGAGCCCCTGAGCAGAGAATTCTCTCAGGCTGGTAGCAGCAGTCAGAAATTCAAAGCAGACTCAAGGCACCATTGCTGGTTTAAGATGGAGGAGGCCACATGAGAAGAACTGTGGATGGTCTTAAGGAGTGGAGAGAGGCCTCTACTGACAGGGAATGGGAACTGCAGCCCCACAGCCACAGGAACTGAGTTCAGCCAGCAATCTGAAGGAGTTCGCAAGTGGATTCTCCTCCAGCAGATTAGAGCCCAGCCCCGCCAACACCTTGATTTCAGCCTTGTGAGACCCTAAGCAGAGAGAACTCAGTCAAGCCTGCCTGGACTTCTGGCCCACAGTTGTGAGATAATAAAGGGGTGCTGTTTTAAGCTGCTAAATTTGTGGTGATTTGTTGTGCAGCAATAGAAAATGAATACAGTATTTAAAAAAGGTGAAGAGGAAAAGTCTTCCTGCTTGATTCCCTCTCATATGTTGGACATTTCTTGATAAACACATGAATAGTCTTACACTAGCAAATCACATACCTGGGCCCCATCTGGGATTTCTCTGCCAGAGATCTCAGTCTTTATTGGAAGTTTGTTGACAAAAGCTTGCAGCATCTTAGTAGTGTTTTGTAAAGGAACTGCTAGAATGAGACTGTAGGAGTAGGATCCGGTGTGTGAGAATCTTTTTCCTGGAAGAGGTATTATGTTATGCTGATTTAGTCTGCTCTGAGCCTGTCAGTGTATTATGTAAGAATGATGAACTGTGGTTTTTTTTTAAAGAGATATTAAGAGAAAAAAAAAGTCTGCCTTTATGTAGAGATCAGATAATCCGTATTGAAAGACAATTTTTTCTAAACCAAGACTTACTTTATTGTCTGGGCACAGTTCAAATCTTGTACGTGCCAACAAAATTTTTGTACTTTGCAAATATTTTCCAAAACACCTCTCTGCTTCCAAGACATTAATTGCTTACAAAGCTTGTTTGTATTTTGGTTTGTCCACTGATTTTTGTGCTTATTTTTACTGTGTTGCCATAGCCTTGATATACGAAAAGCAGAGCTAAAGGAAAGAAAATGAGAGACTAAGACCGTCAAAAGGTCAGAAATTTGAGTCATAATCATATCTTAGTGTTCTAAGGGAACTGAGATATCCAATCTCTTTCTTTATAGAAAAGGAAACTTTTCCAAGCTATGTAGCAGTATTTATAGTGAAATTTAGTTTGACAGTTGTAAAATTTTAATTATTAATCTTAACAGATATATACCATGCTAACTGGTGTGCTTTAGTTAATGCATGTGAACATACAGTGCTATAAAGACTACTACCACAGTATTATTAAAAAAAAAAAAAAAATTTGTTATGTATAGCCATATCACCAATACTTTTGTCTTCTTACCGGAAACACTTGCGTCACCGGTTTGGGCACTACTAGATCATTTTCAAAGGAACAAAGGAAGCGCTGTAACTGCAGAGTGTGTTTGAGTTGAGACATTAGAAGACACTGTTCAAGAAAGTCAAGTGAGTGTTTAATGGAAAGCACTTTGTCCAAAGTATCATTCCCAGTGTTGTTAACTTTGCAGTAAAAAATGTTAAGAATAGTGGTGCTAAAATTGTTCTAAAATAAGGATTGTTTGTTGTGGGGACTGTTAATACCCTTGGGCCTTAGGGAGGCTATTTCAAGTGCATGTATCACTTGCTCCTAGTTGTTTCATGGTATTAGGAATTAATTAGCAAATTGCCCTGGAATCAAAGGTTTGGCACTTTAGTTTGATTAGCCTTCCATTATTTGAAATGCTCAGTGTTTGCTGAAATTAGGTGAAAATACCTTTTGAAGACATATTTTCTGAGCCTTAAACATGGCTGCTATCGACAGTACTGTAAGATACACTGCCAGCAGATTTGATACTTTTCATTTCAGTACAGAGAGGAATGTTTGTTTTCTAAGATTTAGAAATCAGCTGATTAAAGGTAACAATTATTTATGGATTGAAAAACTAAAGTGTTTCTCATCCAGAACACTTTGTTTGGAGAGGTTGTCTTCGCATTTGGGGGTGTTTCTGGAAGCACCCCTTGGAGAAGCTGCCTAAGGAATTGCTTTTTCCAGGTTGTACCAGATTTTTTTTTCTCTTTAAATATATTGTGCATATTTTCCTTACAGTGTCTTCATTGGTTGAATGAGTAATATCTGTAGTAATAGTTTAGGTACCTGTTGGATTTTTAAAGGAAGATTATTTATTTTCAAATTTGCTGCTATAATTGAAACCTAATAACTGGTCCTGTTCACTGTGCCTTTCATCACTGTTTGTTTCTCTGTGCCATGGCCATTCACATGTATTTGAAATGAAGTGTAAAAAGCCATGTTGAATTCAAGATTTCTTCTAATAAAAATAGGTGAAACTTAATGAGTAGCAAGTTTTTCATTAGTTTTGTTTAACAAACACTGAGATAATAGTTTACTTGAAGTATTTCAGTTAGAAAACAGGAGTGGATCTTATATGTGGGTTTTGGGAAGTCTTTCAAGAAGGAAAGAAAAGTCTTAGTGTAAGACAGTGCTTGTCAGTGTTACTAGCTGCTCATTCATATATTATGGACACTATCTAGTTCCCAAAATAAGAGTAGCCACCATGGGCCTCTTCAATTTAACACAGTTTGTTTGTTCGGGGATTTTTTTGGCATAGAAAATGCTGTTGATATTTAGGGGCTGTAGTACAGTGATTCCTATTTGAGTTACATTACAGGTTAAGGAGGCTTTTGAAGGTTAAACTAGGATCATGTGACCTATATCAGTATTTCAACTACAGTTGCCCATTAGAAATGGGGGCAGACTGTGTACCTTGTCAGTAATGGGGCGGGGGGTTAGTTCTCCAGATGGACACTCTTTCAAAAATACTCAATTCATATTAAAGTCCTCTTACCTTTCTATTTTCCTCATGCCCTTAGTACTTTAGATATCATTCTTGTGTGCAAATATTAGAATGAATAAAATAAATGCATTAGTTTAAAAAATATTTATTATAGAAATGTACATTTAATTAGTTTTAAGGAATGTACTCAACCATAGTGTTAACATATTTCTTCCAAGTTGCAAACTTTACACCTTTAAGATATCTACAATGATAGTTTATTTACAAGTTTCAGAAGAAGTCATCACCTCACCAATACTGCAGACATAGTTAAGATGTTCTAGTCTCACTTTTTCTCTTCATTTCACTCTGTACTTGTAGAAGGAGCATAGCATGTGGGTAAAGTTCCATCCTAGTGCTAGTGACAGTCCATAGAGTAGAATGAGAGGTGCAAATGGATAGAGAAGAATTACTGTATTTTTCAAAAATGGCAATGCTGGAAAAGAAACAAATCCAAATTCATTTTTAAAAAAAGGAAATATGACTAATAAATGAACATTCTGAAAGACAGCTCTTATTACAACATGTGGGGCCAAAAAAGAACACATACTTTGAATCAGTAAGATGATGCTATAGATAGCCAGAACTATACTACTTTTACTACTCTTTTGTGTTACCTCCTTCTCATTCATGGCTGTGAAGAAACCGAGTAGAGGGATTATTTCAGCACAAAGGCCGAAATAGAGAAGCAAATCCGGGACTAAGAGAGATTAAGAATGAGGGATGAGTATGACAAATATTAATGAAACGGTGAATTTAAACCTGTGGCTGCTTGAAAAGCCTCTAAGAGTCCATCTATAAGTACCAACAGAGATGGATAATATTATAGGAAAAAAACAACTCTTATGAGATTTCCCAATGTAGAAAGCATTACACCTCCACTTTGAGAAGGTGAGATCTCAACTCATATCCCAACCCTTAGGAAAGAACTAAAACTCTCAAATATAAAATCTGTCCCCAGATACCTATGTTTCTTTCTTGCTCACTGCTTAGTGGGTCCCTACCCCATGCATTCTAACCTAAACATTTCTCATGCAGGAAGTCCCCAAACTGAACCTGAGCTAACAGGAGAGTGATCAAAAATCCACTTAGAGAAACCACAATGTTGCAGTGTCCTGATCACAATTTAAAACACTTTCTCAAAATATGTGAACATTCATCAGAAACCTGAACATAACATGTCACAAACATCTCCCCTGAACTAGAGAAAGGACTCCCAATGGGGTTAAGTGGTCCCTGGCAAAGCAGCAAGGGAGTGGAGGTGAGGTGGGAACAACAGCTCTGGCCAGAGGAGCCAGTCCTACATGAGGACGAGTGGTCTGTATTTACAGTAAGGTCCTGACTACCCAGAGTAACTAGAAAGGAAAGGCTAAAAGCAATACAGTGCTCACAAATCATCAGTAAGATCTCTAGATTTAATTTAACTCTATTTAATGGAGATCATTTCTTAACATAAATGAAGAATAATGTAAAAATGTTTCTCATTCATATTAAGAAAAATGAACTGGGAGCGGGATTTAACGGTAAGTTTACAAACATATCCTGAGGTCAGGAGAAGTCTGACCTGATCTTCTGTGATCATCTACAGAACCATACAATGATCACAAAAATGGAAAATGAACCAAAGGTTTTAAACATACTCAAGTTCATATACCTATGTGCCATACACCGGACCCAACCCTTTCCTCACTCTAACCTACTGTTGGTAGCCTAGGACCTGAGAGCCTGGGAGAAAAAGAAGAGGAAACTGGTCATAGGTTCCTGCAAGTAACTTGGAGATAATCAATATGGGTTAACATGGTTCCTTGAAATTATAAAATTTGTTATATAACAGCTATGCCACTTTCTAGCTGTGTGACCATGGGCAAATTACTTAATATTCTAGGCCTGTTTCCTCATTTGAAAAATGGGGATAAGTAAACGTATATCAAAAAATTATTAAGATTAAATGACATAATTCATAGAAAAATACTTGGGACAGTGCCTGAAAATGCTCCAATAAAGTAAGCTAATTGTGTTAAAATTGTGTTACAACAGCTTTTCCCCTCCGTTACATTTCTAGTCAACCAAAAAAAGTAATCACTTACCACTGTATCCTAGGAAGGTTACATAGATATAATAGCCAACTGCAACCAACCATAAGGTATTTCCAACTAAATATCCAATAAATGTGTCTGTTAGGATAACATCTGCCAAAGAGATGCATACAATGAATCTCTTTTCAGTGCATACAATGAAGACTTTCTGATAATATTTTGAGAAGTAATTGCTACTTACGGTTAATGAAAAAAAGCTGGATAAAATGCAGAATGACTAGGAGAGGATAAAAAGCATTCAGATGCACATCAAAGGCATAGCCCCACTCCACATCATAGTCTCTGCTTTGCCGTTTCACTAAATATTTGTTAGAAATAAACCTGAAGAAAAGTTAAGATTTCTTTCATAATACAATAAAATTAATTCTATAAATATTTACTGACTACCTTCTATGCACCAAACATTATTCTAGATACCAGAGATAACAGTGGTAAACAAAACAGACAAAAATCTGTGCCTTCAATCCAGTGGGAGTAGACTGACAACAATGTATGTCAGATGCTACTATGAAGAAAAAGAAAGCAGAAAAGAAAGACAGAGAATACAAAGTTGAAAAACGTTAAATGTGATAGTCATAATAAAGTAACATCTGGGTAAAGACACAAGGGCAGTAATGGGAATTACCTGGGGCAGAGCATTCTAGGCAGAGGGCAGTCCACGTATGGAGGGGGAGGAGGTGGTGGAGTACAAAGGAGGTGGCAGAAGGCCTGGCATGTTTGAGGAATGGGTGAGGAGACCAGTGTGTCTGGAACAAGAGTAGAGTAGCAGGAAATGAAATCAGAAAAGAAACAGGAAGCCAGGTCTTATAAAGCCCATGGCCATTTTAAGACCTTTGGCTTTTATTCTTGGTGAACTAAGAAGTCACTGTGGAGTTCCCAGAAGTGTCGGACTTATATTTTGACAGGGTTCCTCTGGGGGCAGATCTGAGCACAGACTATAGGGACAAGAGTGGAAGTGGAGAGACCAGTTGGGAGCCTACTGCGAGTAAGAGATGAACAGGGTGGTAGCAGTGGAGGTGGTGACATGGGAAGGCAGAGCCAATAGCATTCGTTTAAATACTGGATGTAGAGTATGAGAAAAAAAGAAGAGTCAAGGATGACTGGGAAATTTCTCCCTTAAACAAATGGAAGACTGAGCTGCCATTAACTGAGGTGGGGATGGCTACAGAAAGAGTGGTTTGGGGCAGGAAGGAGAGCACAGGAGTTTGGATCTGGACTTATGTTGAAGATGCCTGTTTGTACGGAGAAAGAAGTACATAAAGTCTACAGTTTGGAGGAAAGACCCAAACTGGAGATATAAACTCATCGGTGTATACATGATATTTAAAATCCCTGGGCTGCCTGTGGCTTAGCAGTTAAGTGTGCGCACTCTGCTACTGGTGGCCCGGGTTCAGATCCCGGGCGCGCACCAACGCACCGCTTCTCCGGCCATGCTGAGGCCGCGTCCCACGTGCAGCAACTGGAAGGATGTGCAGTTATGACATGCAGCTATCTGTTGGGGCTTTGGGGGAAAAAAAAGGAAGAGGATTGGCAATAGATGTTAGCTCAGAGCCAGTCTTCCTCAGCAAAAAGAGGAAGATTAGCATGGATGTTAGCTCCAGGCTGATCTTCCTCACACACACAGAAAAAAAATCCCTCGGCCTGAATGAAATCACCCAAAGAATGAACATAGATAGAGGATAGGTCCAAGGCCTAAGACTTGGGTCATGCCCCTTTTAAAAGGTCAGGGAATCAGGGGGAACCAGTAACGAAAAGAATGGCCAGTGATGTATCTAGCCGTAAGAACAATTATTCAAGTTTATGTCACTGTTCCACAGCATGGGCTATTCGTTCAGTTAATGATGAATGAATGAAAAGTAAAATATCCAGGTAATAGAAAAATTGATCTTCAAAGGAAAAGAACAAAAAGAGTCATTCATATTATGGACACAGCTGTGGAAATTCAGTGGACCTTTATATGTATGATTTCAAGGATACAGTTAAGAAAATACCATGCCTACAGTGTAAATAAAAATAGAAAAAATAAAGAAACAAGAGGGAGAACATGGTACAGTACTAATAAAACAGTCTTGTACTCAGTTATCTGAAAATATCAATATAATAAAGCTTTACTCAAACAAACTGGAACTTACCAAAACATCTTCCATTTTAGACAAGAACATGTGCTATTAAAATGAATCGAGTAAGGGTAGCCATGGTGTGACGCCCTCCTGGAACACCCCTGCCCCCCGAGCCCACACACACTCCAGCTCCAGCTGTCCTGCCAAGGCAGCCCCGGCACAGCACACCCCAGAACCTCCCAGCCTGTGCCCACTCCAGCTCCAGCCATCCCGTCAGGGTGGCCCTGGCATGGCATGCCCTGGGATCCCCCAGCCTGTGCCTGCTTCAGCTCCAGCTGTCTCACCATGGTGGCCTCAATGCAGTGGAGGAACACAATGAGAACTTCAACAACCAATCAGAGCTGAAGAATACAATAACTGAAATGAAAAATACACTAAAGGGAATCAGCATCAGATTAAATGATACAGAAGAATGGATCAGTGATCTGGAAGACAGAATAATGGAAATCACCCAGAGAGAAGAGCAAAAAGAAAAAAGAATTTTAGAAAATGAGAATAGTTTACGGGACCTCTGAGACAACATCAAGCCTACTAACATTCGCATTATAGGTCTCTCAGAAGGAGAAGAGAGACAGAAAGGCACAGAAAACTTATTTGAAGAAATAATGGCTGAAAACTTCCCTAATCTGGGAAAGGAAACAGACATCCAGGTCCAGAAAGCACAAAAAGTCCCAAACAAGATGAACTCAACAAACGAGAGACCCACACCCAGACATATTATAATTAAAATGGCAAAAGTTAAAGATAAGGGGAGAATCTTAAAGGCAGCAAGAAAAAACAACAAGTCACATGGCCTGCCCGGTGGCATAGTGGTTAAGTTTGTACGCTCTGCTTCGGTGGCCTGGGGTTCAGATCCTGGGCACAGACCTATGCACCGTTTATCAAGCCATGCTGTGGCAGCCATCCCACATATAAAGTAGAGGAGGATGGACATAGATGTTAGCCCAGGGCCAATCTTCCTCAGCAAAAAAGGGAGGATTGGCAACAGATCTTAGCTCAGGGCTAATCTTCCTCACCATTAAAAAAAAAAAAAAACACCCCAACAAGTCACATATCAGGTAACTCCCATAAGACTATCAGCTGATTTTTTAACAGAAACTTTGCAAGCCAGAAGGGAGTGGGAGGATATATTTAAGGTGCTGAAAGGAAAAAACTTACAACCAAGAATACTCTAACTGGCAAGGTTATCATTCAGATGAAGGAGAGATAAAGTTTCCCAGACAAGCAAAAACTAAAAGAGTTCAGCACCACTAAATAAGTCTTATGAGAAACGTAAAAGGGTCTTCTTTAAGCAGAAAAGAAAAGGCCATAAGTAGAAATAAAAGATATAAAAGAAAAAAATCTCACTGGTAAAGGCAAATATGCAGTAAAAGCAGTGGATTAGCCACTTAAAAAGCAGTATGAAGGTTAAACGACAAACTAGTAAAATTAACTATAACTACAATAAGTAGTTAAGGGATACACAAAATTAAAAAATGTAAAATATGATGTTAAAAACATAAAATGTTGGGGGGGGTAAAAATGTAGTGCTTTTAAAATGCATTCAAACTTCAGTGACTATCTCCTTAAAACAAACTGGTATATATATGGGTCGATATATATGAACCTCATGGTAACCACAAACCAAAAACCTACAATACATACACAAAAAATAATGAGAAAGGAACCTAAACATAACACTAAAGACCATCAAACCACAAGGGAAGAGAACAAAAAGGAGAAGAAAGGAACAGATAAAAACTACAAAAACAACCAGAAAATGACTAACAAAAGGGCAATAAGCACATACCTATTGATAATTAAATTTAAATGAACTAAATGCTCCAATCAAAAGATACAGAATGGCTGAATGGATTAAAAAAACAAGACCCATCTATATGTTGCCTAGAGGAGATTCACTTCAGATCTAAAGACACACACAGACTGAAAGTGAAGGAATGGAAAAAGATATTCCATGCAAATGGAAACAGAAAGAAAGATGGGGTAGCAATATGCATATCAGACAAAATAGACTTTAAAAAAAGACTGTAACTAAAGACAAAGAAGGGCATTACATAATGATAAAGGGGTCAATCCAAGAAGATATAACATTCATAAATATTTATGCACACAACATAGGAGCACCTAAATATACAAAGCAAATATTAAAAGACACAAAGGGAGAAATTGACAGTAATACAATAATAGTAGGGGACTTAATATCCCACTTACATCAATAGATAGATCATCCGGACAGAAAATCAATAGGAAACACTGGCCTTAAATGACACATTAGACCAGATGGACTTAATAGATATATACAGAACAGTCCATCCTAAAATGGCAGAGTACACATTCTTTTCAAGGGTACATGGAACATTCTCAGCGACAGATCATATGTTAGGCCACAAAAAAAGTCAATTTAAGAAGACTGAAATCGTATCAAGCATCTTTTCTTACCACAACAGTATGAAACCAGAAGTCAATTACAAGAAGAAAACTGGAAAAAAACATGAACACATAGAGATTAAACAACATGCTACCAAACAATCAATGAGTCAATGAAGAAATCAAAGAGGAAATGTAAAAATACCTTGAGACAAATGAAAATGGAAACACATGCAAAATCTATGGGATGCAGCAAAAGCAGTTCTAAGAGGGAAGTTCACAGCAATACAGGCCTACCTCAAGAAACAAGAAAAATCTCAAATAAACAATCTAACTTTACACCTAAAGGAACTAGAAAAAGAATAACAAAGAAAGCCCAAAGTTCACAGAAGAAAGAAAATAATAAATATCAGAGTGGAAATACATGAAATAGAGACTAAAAAACAATAGAAAAGATCAGTGAAACTAAAAACTGGTTCCTTGAAAAGATAAATAAAATCAATAAGCCTTTAGCCAGACTCATCAAGAAAAAGAGAGTGAGGGCCCAAATAAATAAAACTAGAAAGGAAAAAGAAGTTACAGCTGACACCACAGCAATACAAAAGATCATAAAAGACTACCACGAACAATTATACACCAACAAATTGGAAAACCTAGAAGAAATGAATAAATTCCTAGAAACACACAACATTCCAAGACTGAATCATGAAGAAATAAAAATTCTGAATAGACTGATTACAAGTAATGAAACTGAATCAGTAATTTAAAAACTCCCAAAAAACAAAAGTCCAGGACCAGAAAGCTTCACAAGTGAATTCTACCAAACATTTAGAG